CAGAGAGCTCACCTGGTGGTCCTGCAGCTGTGCAGGGTGCTGAGGAAGTGGGTCCCGGTGGAGGAGGTGGGTCATGACAGGGGAGGGCAATTGTGGGCAATCAGGCCGGCAGGGGAGGGCAGTTGGGGGGGATCAGGCCAGCAGGGCAGCAGTTAGGGGACAATCCGGCCGGCAGGCAAATGAGCCATTGGGAGTCAGCAGTCCCGGATTGTGAGAGCCATGTCTGACTGCCGGTTTAGGCCTCATCCCACAGGAGTCCCAGATTGGAGAGGGTTCAGGCTGAGCTGAGGGACACCACCCCCCAGTGCACAAATTTCATGCACCATGCCTCTAGTATATAGATAATAATAAAACAGCAGACACTGGGAAGAACAGTGGATGCAGATATAGGAGATGGGGGTTTCAATCATCACTCTACTGCTTACATATGTGATTGTGGGTGAGTCAGTTCACCTTTCCAAACCTCAGATTCCTTCTTTTTTTAAAAATATATGTTTATTGATTTCAGAGAGGGAGTGGGAGAAAGAGATAGAAGCATCAATGATGAGAGAGAATCATCAATTGGCTGCCTTTTGCATGCCCCACAGTGGGGATGGAGCCCACAATTGGGGCATGTGCCCTGACCAGGAATCGAACTGAGATCTCCTGGTTCACAGGTTGACGCTCTACCACTGAGCCACATCAGCTGAATTTAGTTTCTTTCTTTGTAAAATGGAGAGAATAAATAAGATCCGTCTGTTCTTTCCTTCCAAGCTTATTGTGAACACCAAATAGTTTTCTGGGAGAGTGCTTTGAGTAGTATAAAGTAAGTTAGAAAAATTAGATTACTATTATTATTTGGGTCATTTTTTTTTCAGTGTACCTAGCTTGATGCTAAGGATAATAACCTGTCCAGAAATGTAAGACACAGTCCAGATGGGGAGACAGAATTTATATGTGTGTATGTGAACAGTACCTGTTTCATTCCTCCACTAGGATATCAATCACACTTTATTATTATTGTTTCTTTTCATATATGTTTCCCTCATTAGAATGGCTAGCTGGAGGGACTAAAAAACTCATATGACAATATATAGCACTTTATGAGTGTTTACATGGATGGGAATTAGCTATGTCAGGTGGAGTGTTCAGAGAGCTAAGATTTGAGCTGAGTGTTGAGGAATGGTTACAATACAGTTAAGAGATGAGAATAGGAACATGTATCAAACAAGAAGCAGGACAGAGTCTGATACTTACTTACTCCTGATGTATGCTAGGCATTCTCTATTGGCTACCTAATTTAGTATTTACAATCATCTTGTGAGGAGGGATTATTATACCCACTTCCCAGGTGAAGAAATTTATACTCAAAGAGGTGAAATAACTGCCCAGGGTCCCAGAGCTTGGAAGTAGCAGAACATGGCCTCAGAGACATGTCTACCCAACTCCATATTCTCTGTAGTTATAGTCTAGAATTAGTGCCTGGGGTGATAATTCGAGACTAAATCACAGGGGGCCTTGAATTTATGTTAAGGAATTTGAACTTTATTCTGTACATAGTCACTGGGAACATCTTTAAGGAGGATAAAAACAGTATATAAATACTTAGAGTAAATCTTATAACAGTATTAAAATATTAAAGTTAATATTTTTACATTTACCTTAAATTTTTTATAGAAGAAATCTTAATGAATATCAAGATCTAACATCCTTGCATAGTTGTGCATGTGTCTATTTCCATATTGTGTTCATCAGGCCATGATTATTTTTGTGGACATGTTTTACTTATATTATTTTACTAGAGGTCCATTGCACAAAGAGATTCGTGCAATAAGCCTTCCTTCCCCTGGCTGCCAGCACTAGTTTTCCTCCAGCACCCGGAACCCAGGCCTCCACTCTGGCTGCAGTGGAAAAGCCAAGCCTGGAGGCTTCTATGCTCTGACCAGCACGGAGAAGCCAAGCCTCTGCAGTCTTCAGTCTTCAGTCGTCTTCAGTCTTCACTTGGGCGGAGCCTTCAGTCTTCTCCCTGTGCCTGCATATGCAAATTAACCATCATCTTTGCTGCGTTAATTTGCATACTCATCCTGATTGGCTGGTGGGCGTAGCAGAGTGACACCAATTTGCATGTTTCTCTTTTATTAGTGTAGCTATGCATATATTTTTTTTATCTGGCCCAAGTCCTTGTCAGTTCATACATAACACGTTTTGGTTAAATGCTTGTAAGCATTGACTCATTTGTTTGGGTCTGACTTTTTGCTGTTAAGAAACATGTATTCTTCCAATTGTTTTCTTTTTTTAAATTTAAATTCTTTATTGTTGACAGTATTACATATGTCTCTTCCCACTCCCCCCCGCCCCACCCCCCCGGCCATTGACCTCTCCTGGCTACTTCCTCTGCCCAGCTTATATCCCGTCCTCCTACTGTCTGTGTCCTTTGGTTGTGCTTATATTCATGCATACAAGTCCTTTGGTTGATCTCTAACCCCCCTACCCTTCCCTGCCTTCCCTCTGAGGTTTGATGGTCTGTTGGATGCTTCTATAGCTCAGGATCTATTTTTGTTCATCAGTTTATCTTGCTCATTATATTCTACAAACGAGTGAGATCATGTGATATTTACTTTTCTCCATCTGGCTTATTTCGCTTAGCATAACGCTCTCCAGGTCTATCCATGCTGTTGTGAATGTTTAGAGTTCTTTCTTTTTTTATAGCAGCATAGTATTCCATTGTGTAGATGTACCACTCATCTGCTGATGGGAATGGGCTGTTTCCAAATCTTAGCTATTGTAAATTGTGCTACTATGAACATAAGGGTGCATATATACTTGCTGATTGGTGTTTCTGTTTTCTTGGGATGCATTCCTAGAAGTGGGATTACTGGGTCAAATGGGAGTTTCATTTTTAATTTTTTGAGAAAATGCCATACTGTTTTCCACAGTGGCTACAACAGTCTGTATTCTCACCAGCAGTGCATGAAGATTGTTGTTGTTTTAATTTCTTTTCTTTGGGTTAAATTCCTTTGGATCTTATCCCCAAAGTGGATCAACTGGATCACTAAGTATGAAATGTCTCACCTATATGGTTTTGCATTTCATCCACACTGCTGCAAGATAGAATAAGCCCGGTGTACAGTGCCACCAAATATTTGTAAGTGCATCCATTTCACCATCCTTTTGCCAGAAACGTCTTATAAAAATTATGTATATTTAGCCCTGGCAGGTTTGGCTTAGTGGATAGAGCGTTGGCCTGCATACTGAAGGGTACTGGGTTCAATTTTGGTCAAGTGCATGTGCCTGGGTTGTGGGCTTGATCCCCATTGTGGGTGTGTGTGTGCGGGAGGCAACCAATGATTCTCTCTCATCATTGATGTTTCTATCTCTCTCTCCCTCTCCCTTCCTCTTTGAAATCAATAAGAACATTTAAAAAAATTATGTATATTTATTTTCTACAGACTGACCTGGAAACTGGAGACAGAGGTAGGAAGGCAAGTTAGGAGGCTGATACCATAGTCAAGACCTAAGTGAAAAAAGCTTCAGTTTTGATGATGATGAATTTAACAAATTGAAATTTATCAAACATTGACTAAGCACCTACTATGTGCCTGGCACTGTACTAAACATATTAGTATGTAATTAAAATATCTCACTATCTTTGTCAAATACTATATTATTGGTATTAATTATACATATAAGGAAACTGAGAATCAGAAAATTGTGAATACCCTAGGTCAGTGGTCGGCAAACTCATTAGTCAACAGAGCCAAATATCAACAGTATAATGATTGAAATTTCTTTTGAGAGCCAAATTTTTTAAACTTAAACTATGTAGGTAGGTACATTGTTATTAACTTAATTAGGGTACTCTTAAGGCTTAGGAAGAGCCACACTCAAGGGGCCAAAGAGCCGCATGTGGCTCGCCAGCCGCAGTTTGCAGACCACGGCCCTAGGTCACAAAAATACAAACTTCAGAGCTGATTTTCAAACAAAGACTTTATGAATATATAACTGCTGGAAGAATTATAAAGAAACAAAAATCCAGAGTTGTTAGTGACCAATGTGAAATGGTGCCAAAGGAGTTGGCCTAGATAGCTTTGATATTGTGTAGTTTTCCATTTGGATAACTATTAAAGTTTTTTATATTTTTTTTTTTCTTCCAGGAGACTCTGACAGTTTCAGCAAAGTGTGGCCTCCAGGAGAAAAGCCAACCATCATCCGCCCCCCAGTGAGACCTCCAGATCCTTTCTGCCGGGCAGCTACTCCCCAGAAAACAAAGCCAGATATTGTAGTTGGCAATGCAGGGGAAATACCATCATCTGTGTAAGTGGGGTTATTCTTCATCCTTGACCTAAGGCCAAACTTAGGCCACCAGGAAGGCTTTCAGGATTACCATTATGGTTTTCAAGGGTGTACAGTGCACAATCCTAGGCATCATTCACTTCATAGTCTAGGGAAATGCACAGACCAGCTCTGTTCAGAATGTTCTACTCTACACTGAAGGCTGAGAGATTTCCCCAAAGCTGACAAGCTTGAACCTTAGTGCCTAATCAGAGAACCATTGTTTCTAGCTATATTGATATCTGATGTGTGGTAAGATTACCTTCTGTTTTCGTGCTCCCTTGGCTCTGGAGTTTTTCTTTTTTTCTTGTTATTGCTACTGGTTTTAAAAGTAATTTAATGAACAGATTCATTCATTGTACTTATGCCTTAAGGCTTTCTCTTTTTTTTTAAAGCAAGGTATGACTTTTAAAAAATCTTCCAAAATGACTCAGCTTCTCCAGAGAATCTCTTACAGAGTATGAGCTGAGCTGATGTCCCACACATTACCTGAAGCTGGGCTGCAAACCAAGGAGCCAGAGGTAAAGCTTCCATAGCCAAACTGGCTGGCCTCTCCTCAGTCATTGCCTGAGACCCCTCTCAGGATATTTCCTCCCGGTGTTTCTTTTTTTGTCTCTCTTGTTTTCCATAATTGTAAAATCAGGCAATTTTTATTTTATTTATTTATTTTTAATGTGTTTTTATTGATATTAGAGAAAAGAGAAGGGAGAAAAAAAGAGAGAGAAACATTGATGTGAGAGAGAAACATCAATTGGCTGCCTCCTGCACGCCCCCTACTGGGGATTGAACCTGCAACCCAGTCATGTGCCCTGACAAGGAATCGAACTGGTGACCTTCATTGCAGCACGACCAACTGAGCCACACCAGCCAGGGCATGGAACCAATTTTTTAAAAGCTTTCGCCATTTTGACTAATTAGCTAAGTGTATTTACACAATGCCAAACATTATACTTTGAAATGTAGGACTTGTTTCACTTATTTATCCCAAGAATAGCCTGAATGGGCAATATACTTAGACCATTCTGAACCAACAGGTAGCAAGAGATATCAACCGTAGAACTGAGGGTGCCTATTATCCCTGAACCATTTCACATTCTCATACTTGGGTTTTTCCCTCAGACCCGAGTTCTTTGTAAGGTAAGGCAGACCATGGCATTGATGGCCCATCTGGTTCATATTTTCTTGTTCTTCCATTGGCCATTAGTTCTCATACAAATTCCAAATCAATTCATGGGACTTGGTTGGCTTATGTTTACAGGGTGGCTTCCAGGACCAGGTTCTTTGAAACAGCTTCTCGGAAAATAGGAAGGTAAGAAACAGGTGACTGAAGAAAAACAAAATAACTTTTTAATGAATGTATCATAAGCATCTCATTTGCTCTTTTATATTCTCTTTTTCTTTCTCTGTATTTCTGTCTCTGTCTGTTTGTCCCTCTCTTTCCCACAACTCTGTCTCCATCTGTTACCCTGTATTTTAATCTTTTTTTCTCTATCTTTTGTCACTTTATTTGTCTCTCATGCACTCTGTTTCTTTCAGTGTCTCTGTCATTCTCAATCTCTATCAGTCTCTCTTTGTCTTTTTCTACTTATGTCTGTTTCTGTCTTTGTCCCTCTGTCTCACTGTTTCACTATTTTTATTTTTCTGTCTCTCTCTCCTCATGTCTTTCTTTCTTTATCTGTCTCTGTACGTTGTATCTTTGCCTCCCTGACTGCCTTTCCATACCTTACTCTTTGTGCTTCTCTCTCTCTCTCTCTCTCTCTCTCTCTCTCTCTCTCTCTCTCTCACACACACACACACACACTCACACACACACACACACAGCACTCACATGCCAAGCAGTATTATAAAAACATTGCACTCAATGTAGGTCTTATTTTTTGTTAGTTTACTTTTTTACACCTATTATATTCTTAAGGGGAAGCTGGCAAGAATATATAGAATGCAACACTCTAACATAAACAGCCTTAGAAAAACATAGTCCTAATTTCAGAGGTAAACATTCTACTTAGGAGATTGTTCTCATATTAGCTGCACATATAAATCACCTTGAAAATTTTAAAGAAAAAAACAAACACAGAATCCTTCCTTCTACTCTAGACACACTAAACTAAAATCTCTAAGAGTAGGGCCTGAGAATCTTTTTGTTTTATTTCACCTCTCTCTCTCTCTCCCTCCCTCCCTCCCTCCCTCCCTTATTCCTTTCCTTTCTTCCTTCTTCTCAAGTACTGATACAGACTGTCCAAGACCCGACATTTGGGACTGTTTTAACTAGAACACCTGGACAAATGATTGCTTAGCCTCAGGGACTCTTGTGAATTTGCTCCATGTTGCTTATGAGAAATTTTGAAATTATGCTTCTGGATGGGTGACAAGAGTATAACTCTTGTAGGTGGTTAGTTAAACACAGAAAAATGTGCCGTTACCAGTAGTGAACTGAGGTAGGTTTGACATCATCTAGTCAAAACATGTCCTCACCAGGACATGATTCTCCACAGCAGGTCACCTTTTAAGCATGATAATGCATATTCAGAGTTGACTGAGTTGTAAAAATAATCATTCTTTTGGTTATGGGAAAGATAGACATGGAAGTAAAGACTGGAGGCAGGGAGACCAGTAAAGACCAGAGGCTAATCATCCTGGCAAGAGTTTATGAGAACCTGACTTCTGGCATTGCCAGTAGGAATAAAATGGAACAGGAGATTTTAGATAGATTCAATAAGACGTTGTTGACTTTTCAAATATGGAACATTGGAGAAGGATTAAGAGAGGAAAATCTAATTTGGGTAATTAAATAGATGTTAATAATAATTAATCATGGAGGAGCAGGTTTTGTGAAAAACTTGCTCTACTCAGTTTTGGAGGCCCTATGGGACATCCAGATAAAGATTTTCACTAGGTAACTGCAACTTAGACTACTATTTGGGGTTGGACCTACAGATATTTAGGGTAGAACTTTTTAGTATAGCTATCACACTTCATGGAGGTATTCACATATACAAAAATGTGAATAGTAGCTCTTTTGGGAGGGGGGATCCTCAGTATATGGTGGTGATTGAAAGCATGGATGGGAATACAATCACTCAGGGAATAGGTGTAAACAGACTTAGGAGAGAAGAAAAAAATAATGTTGAAGATATAGCCCTGAGACCAGTTGTTGTCTGGGATATTCTGTCCACACTATATGGGGGTTTGACTCTTCAGGATTGTCTTTTCCCTCCAGCTGTCTTTAGACAAGTTTAATTTAGGATTAATCTAAGTACATCAAGAGGCCAGGCAAGGCTGGTTTGGTCTTCATGTCAAAAAAGGATTCATGTTTCACATGGCATTTGCCCTCCATCCTTGCCCTTCTCCCTATTAGAGTTAATTACAGAATGTAGTGTTTGGTCTCGGGCCAATTTCTCTGGGCTCCCTTAGTCTTTCACAGTCTGGCACACAAGGTCTGTCACCTGAAAGATGTTATTGTGTCTGGGAGACTGGGCTCTCTAAATCTGCCAGAGAGGTAGTTCAATCTACAAGCATGAAGCTCAAGGCTTTGAAAAATCTAGATGAAATCACATCCCCATTTTTAAAATTGACACTGGCATGTAAGGACCCTTACCCTTGCTTTGCCTTTCCAGTTCTGATTTCTAGAGTCTTAGTGAAATGTCTTTCCTCTTTTACCCACAGTTCTCAAGGCAGACTTCCTGGAGATGAGAGTTGAAGACTCAGGTATGTAGTCTCCCACCCCTGATTATAGAACCTTGTAAACATGAACCTTCTTTAAAAAAATAAAATAAAATTTATACACACAAACACACACACACACAATAGTGGCCTTGTGCATGAAATTCATGCATGGGGGTGGGGGAGGGGGATGCACCCTCTCCAATCTGGGACCCCTCGGGGGATGTCTGACTGTGGGATCGGGCCTACACCAGCAGTCAAACATCCCTCTAGGGGTCCAGGATTGGAGAGGTTGCAGGCCGGACTGAGGGATCCCCCTCCCATGCACGAATTTCATGTACCAGGGCTTCAGTCTATAATATAATGCAATTTTAAGCCAGGCCTTAACAGTATTTTTCATTGAACTCAATAGGCTAAAAATCCTTGAAGAACCGTAATACAAAATTAGCAATATGCTCAGAAAAAAATACACAAATTAGCAGTGTACAGCTCAATGAAGTTTTATCATATAATGCTTTTATTTGTGTGTATATATTAGAGGCCCAGTGCATGAAATTCGTGCACTCAGGGGGTCCCTCAGCCAGGCCTGTGCCCTCTCACATCCAGAAGCCCTCAGGGGATGGCCAACTGCCATGGAGGCAGAAGAGGCTCCCACCACCACTGCTGCACTAGCTAGCCATGAGCCTAGCTTCTGGCTGAGAGGCTCTCCCCCTGTGGGAGTGCACTGACCACCAGAGGGCAGCTCCTGCATTGAGCATCTGGCCCTGGTGGTCAGTGCACATCATAGTGACTGGTCATTCCATCATTTGGTCGATTTGCATATTAGCCTTTTATTATATAGGACTAGAGGCCCTGTGCACAAAAATTTGTACACGCGGGAGGGGTGTCCCACAGCCTGGCCTGTGCCCTCTTCCAGTCTGGGACCCCTAGGGGGATGTCCACCTGCTGGCTTAGGCCGCTCCCCGGGGGATCGGGCCTAAGCTGGCAGTCAGACATCTCTCTGGCAGCCCGGGAGCCCTCCTGGGATGTACACTTGCCAGCAGGGAGCAGGCCTAGGCTGCAGTCGGACATCCTTAGCACTGCTGAGGAGGCAGGAGAGGCTCCCGCCACCACTGCTGTGCTGTTAGCCATCAGCCTGGCTTGTGGCTGAGCAGAGCTCTCTCTGTAGGAGCGCACTGACCACCAGGGGGCAGCTTCTGCATTGAGCATCTGCCCCTGGTGGTCAGTGTGTGTCATAGTGACCAGTCATTCCCAGTCGTTCTGCTGTTAGGGTCAATTTGCATATTACTCTTTTATTATATAGGATAGAGGCCTGGTGCATGGGTAGGGGCTGGCTGGTTTGCCCTGAAGGGTGTCCCGGATCAGGGTGGGGGTCCCTCTTGGGTGCCTGGCCAGCCTGGGTGAGGGGCTGATGGCTGTTGGCCAAGACCCCCAGCGGGGACCCTCACCTCATGGGGGTGTGGACAGCCTGAGTGAGGGGCTGAGGGCTGTTTTCAGGCTGGCCACAGCCCCTTCAGGATGGGGGAGTCCCGCTGGAGTGCCTGGCCAGAGTGGGTAACAGGCTGATGGCTGTTTGCAGCCTGGCCACTCCCCTTGGCGACCCAAGCTCCCAGCCTCTCCTTATTTTTTTTTTCTTTTCTGGGATTTACTTATCTTCTATAATTGAAACTTTGTAGCCTTGAGTGTAGCCCAGGGCCAGCCAGGGAAGGTGGGAAGCTTGGCTTCCTCTATCGCCAGGGGCAACCCAAGCCTTCTGCTTGCTCCAGCTCTGTGGCCGCTGCCATCTTAGTTGGGTTAATTTGCATACTTGCTCCGTAGCGGCTTGTTGGTGTGGTTTGAGTGTAGTGGAGGGGTGGGGAAAGTGACTGGTCGACTGGTTGTTCTGGTCGTGATGGTTATTGCACGTTTCTCTTTTATTATATAGGATGTTTTTATTGATTTCAGAGAGAGGGAGAGGGAGAGAGAGAAACCTTAATGAGAATCATCAATCAACTGCCTCTTGCACACCTCCCACTGGGGATTGAGCTCTCAACCCCAGCCTGTGCTCTGACTGGGAATTGAACTGTGACCTCCTGTTCATGGGACAGTGCTCAACCACTGAGCCACACTGGCTGGGCACACATAAGACTTCTTTATGGGATCTGATTTTCTGATGATTGGAATACTGTGTTGCTTCAGAGACTGGAAACTTACCTCCATGTCTCAGTTCATTACCCTCTAATTACTTACTGCCTTCTAATTCTGAGATTCTCTGTGTTTTTCAGTTTCTTTCTCCTTTCCTTTCTTTCTCCCCAGCAAAACCACAGTGTAGTTTTACAAATTGCTTTTGAATCAAGTTTATTAGGAATCCTAGACTGTGACATTTGGGGCAAGTACATTTCATTCTCTGAGCCTCAATTTCCCAATCTGTAAAATGAAAAGGTTGTAACTTTCTTACTCTAGCATTCTTTGGATCTATAAGATGATCAGTAACTTGTCTTTTGGCATTATAGCAGGAACCAAGAGTCCAGCTTAGTATCTGTAGTAGGACTTCATTCTTTCAGACCCAATCACTATTTCAGTGTTACCCCTCTGAAACTTCCTTCTTAGTCCTTCATATTTGTCTGATGTAAAACACTTTCACATCCATTAGCTCATTTGATGCATATCAAATGCTAGATATAGGGAGGATAATATGCATTTTAATTCAACGAATAAGGAACTGAGGTTCATAGGGGATAAGTAACTTGCTAAAGTCAACAGGAGCCATGGAGATCATGGAAATGTTTTTATCTAGGAGTTCTGATTGTTTGACTATCAGATTGCTGGCATAACATGAACCAATATACACAGAAATGAGATCCAGGTGTCTGTCCCAGGCTTCCTTTTTTTATTATCACTGGCAGTCCTCAGAGATGCATAGGTAGATAAGCTTTTTCCTTATCAGCCCTCATGGAGGTGAAGTCCCAGTAAAAGGAAGTGTGGAAATATTGTAGTGTTATAAATGCTATAAAGGCAGTGGCCATGTTACAGGGTGGGGGATAATCTCAGAGGTACCAAGCTTCTGCATCCCCTGTAGACTTTGGGGAGATTAGAGTTGAGGCCAAAGGCACACAGTTTCTATTACTGAGTATAGGGACCATCTTAGGCCCTGTTTCATGGGATCAGAGTTATAAGGACCTTTTCCTAGCCAGTCCCTATTATTCAGATTAGCTACCAAATGCATGCTTAGCTACCTATTAAGGAGGCCCCACTACTCAGTGGCTGTTAAGTGTATAACCAGTCTTAGCTAATTTCCTACTCTCTTCTTTCCCTTTCAGGTTTGAAAACCTTGGCCTCTGAAGACCCTTTCCAGGTTTTGGAAGGATCTTCAAACCCTGTGTGCTGAGTCATTTTGTGCTGAAGAACAGCTCCTCCCTGGCCCTGCACCTTTAGGCTCTAGGATGCTATAAATAGGGGGCACATGTCCTAGAACAGGTTTATTTCTCCTTTTTATTCTGTCTTTATCCCGTCAGAAGTTCTATTTTGAGCTCTTGTACGACTGTGAATGGCTAAACTCCTTCAAGCCAGACTCTGCAGAAACCAAGCTATCCACTGACCTGAGTTGAAGAGGGGAGCTCAGTTTTCAACTCTTCCTGAACTTCCTGCCTCCTCAAAAGGACATAGAACTCTGAATGATTTGGGACTAAGCACTGATTTCAAAAATCTTACCCTGAACTGAAAACTACTTGGGTTGGGGCCTTACCTAGGAAGCAGGGAAGTAGGAATGTTTGCTAAACATCAGAGAATCATAACATGTCTCTTACCGATGATATGGACCCTGGTGCCAGGTTGGAGCTCTCATGCTGCAATATATTGCCAAGAACCTGTCTGATTCTATGGGGCCAGACAGCTTGGGTGATGTCCCCCCACAAACTGTCCATGTGAACTCAGGAAGGTAGCCTTCCTGCTCTTACATACAACCACCTAAGAAATCTGCAAAGCACATTTTGCAGGTCAAAGCCTAAGTCTGTTTGAATTATTCTTCTGCCTATTTTGCCCTGGCAGCTTCCTTTCCAAGTAAGCAGGAAAGAAATAAAGAAAAGCTGAAAACATTTCTTTAAAGAAGGGAGCTGGTATTTGCCTGCAGGAGTTCAATTTTTGGGTCAAATGCTGGGAAAAAATGTTAAGATGGATTGAGGCCAGGCAGCTGTCACATTGCATCATATTTGTCTTCTGCAGTTAATTGCTTTTATCTCCTGAAAGAAGCAGTTTTTAACCCAGTGCTCATGGATTCAGGAACTTCACGAAGCCTCTGAAATGGTGTTCAGAATTCTTCAATAATTTCTTTTTCTGAAGAGATGTTCATAACATTCCACTGAATTTCAAATGGGCCTGTGACCCAATAAAGGTTAAGAACCATAGCCTTCAGATAGACTCTTTTTACAACTCATATAGTATTTGATTGGTAGGGTCTTGCAAAATCATTTAGTGTAATTGCCTAGTTTACATAACACATTAGGAGCCATGCTTAAAGAAGATCCCAAGTCCTTGGGCTCCTATTCAAGGTTCTTTCCATTACACCACAGTTACTTAGCAAAGGGTATTATGATGGGTGGATTTAGTGGTCATTATTTGGGGGGTTTGGCTTTTACTCTCTTTCTTAATTCCCCACATATTTGTCACCAAATGAAAAACTCCCAGACAAAAGCTCTTAGTTTTCTTCATTTGCCATCTAGATAATTGGAAAGGAACTAAAACATAATTGATCCAGTTATTGAAAAATCTGAGTAGACATTTCTGATTCCATTTTGTTAAAGGGAAGGTGCTAGAGCAATGTAATTGCTTATTTTACTATGTAGATGCCATTGGCACAAAACAGGTTCTCAGAGTATCAACCCAAGGGTCTTTCAACTCTACTTTCTTTAGGTGACTATTTTACCATATAAAGATATCTTCTTCCAGTAGCAGAGCAAAAGGTTGTTCATACCCCACCTATCTCACATTTTGATGGTTTTCTATTGCTGCTGTAACAAATGACTACAAATTTAGCAGCTTAAAAAGATCCACTTATTTTCTCATAGTCTTTATAGGTCAGAAATTCTGCATAGTGTGACTGGATTCTCTTCTTAGGGTCTCACTGAATTAAAATCAAGGTATCAGCTGGGATGTGGTTGTCATCTGGGGTTCAGAACCCTCTTCTAAGTTCTCTGGTTGTTGGGAGAATTTAATTCCTTGTTGTAGTAGGAGAGGTCTCCATTTTTTGACATGAGGCCCCTCTATATTCAAGATTACAGTGAGTGACACATCAAAACCTTTTGCTTCCCCTTCCTCTGACTCCCTCTTCTGCCTCTGTTAAGTTGCTCACCTTTCATTGGGGTGATTTTATTGGGCTCATACAGATAATCCATGACAATCTCCCTATCTAGAATAATAAAAGCATAATATACTAATTAGACCTGATTTCCTTCCAGACGACCTTCCAGATGAAGCTGGGGCTGTGAGGGAAGCCTGGGTCCCAGATGCCTGCCAGCAGCTAGAGGGAAGGTGCCAGAGGGAAGCCAGTACCGGCAGCTGGGGGAAGGAAGGCCTACTCTTGCATGAATTTCGTGCACTGGGCCTCTAGTTTTAAAATAAGTAATAACCTAAATTACATCTTCAACCTCTCCTCTATCATGTAATCAAGATAGTGAAGATTAGGGTATGGGATCTTCTTGGAGACCATAATGCTGCTTATAAGGCATGAAGCAGTTGCCTACAGAAGCCCTGCCTCGCAGCATAAAGACACATGCTTAATCCTGGAGAAGACTCTATGTGGGCAGTTAGGAACCCTGGTATTGCCCAACTTCTCCCATCTGAAATACACAACACACCAAAGAAAGTGGTGGCTGTAACAAATGACTATAACAAAAGGGGTGGGGAGTGCTCTTTGGAAGCTGAATATATTCTTAGATGACACCTTGATGCTGGTTGCCAATCCCTTAACTAGTCTCATTCTATATAGTAGAACGGGGCAGAAGCAGTGTCCCCAAAGGCCAAGATGAGATGTGTATTCCCCATATCACTTGATCACTTGCACTACTGCATGCTAAATGTGTTACCTAAATGCTTTGCATGGGTTTACTGTTTTTCCTGATAATATTCCTATGATGTAAGTACTTAGCTTCATTTTACTATACAGCTGAGAAAACTGAGGCACAGAATAGCTAACATCATTTGCTCAAGTTCCCACAGCCAGGAAATGGTGTATTCAGTATTCAAACCCAGACCATCCCCTTAACTAATCCCCTGTGGTTTAGTTAATCAATTCAGAGAAGAGATTGAGGCCAAGTTAATTTCAAAGTCCTTTGCACCTTTGATCCTCTAAGGTTGCTCACAGAGTACTGGTATTTTGGTAACCCAAGTCAATCCAGCTGAGTTTTCTGAAGGATTCTGTTAAATTTAGAGACTTGCTGGGTTTTATGGGGCCAATGGGGTGCAAAGTGAAGGTGCCCAATCTATTCTAAGAGGCTGGAGGATAAGGAGACTTTCAGTCCAGATGGTTGGGTCAGAACCCAGGAATGCTCTTTCCAGAGCAATATTTCTATCTGGGAGCCTCCTCATGAGATAGGGGATCTCTCTATTTTGTTGTGAATGCAAGTGTCACGTCCTCTGAGCTTCTATTAATCCAATTTCATGAAAACCCATGACCTCTGAATGCCTAAAAAGGTGCCTAAAATCAAGACTGCAAAAGAGGACTTTTCTGATCCTGGCGAACAGAAATAGATGGTGGCCTTTCCTAGCCTTTGGCAAACCTGTGGGAACTGATTTTTTTACTAGTTTTGTCAGCCTTGGATTTATCCCTCCAGCTTCTACTTCCTTGGCTACTTCCAACTAGGTCTCATAATGCTGACAGGTGCCATCCTATTATAGTTCCCCCCAGAGCCATCAAAATGTGAGATAGGTGGGGTATGAACAACCTTTTGTTCATTCACCTCTTCTCCACCCCTATTACCATCCTGCATGACTCAGAATTATGTCTCCTTTCTGGGTCTGTGATCTAGTGGGACTCAATAGAGACTGAGTTTCTTTGTTGCTCATTGTTTCTTCTTTGCTAGCCATTGCTGATAAGACACTTGGCCTCTAACTACCCTGGAAGGAACTTGACCATCATTATTCATACTCATGCCTCAATCACCATGGACATGTTACTTCACCCAAATTACCATGATTGGCCCTTAAGAAGTGCTCAATTATTATTAACCACCACCACCAGCAGCGGCAGCAGCAGCAGTGGTAGTGGCTGCCTCATTTTCAATCAAGGAATGGAATCTTCTCTATATCCATTCAGGCTAGTCACTAGTGGATTATGTTTGCTCTTCAAGATCTTCCCAAATGTTATCCACCACCTGATTTATTGTATTCTTCAATGCAGTGTAACCTGATTGGTTAGAAACTGTTATGTCTCTTGGCCCTATAACTAGCCACCCTGACCTACACCACCCTATCTAAGCTGGCCCCAAACCTGGCTCAATTTCCCCCCCAATTTTTTTTCTCTCACGCAAGAGTTTCATCCCAGGCTCCCCTACTCTGCCCTTTGCAGTTTTCAACAGTCATGTTGTGAGGATTCCTAGTCCTTGAGGTATGACAGGGACTCCTTCCTATGACAATTCAACTCTTGGTGATGTGGTTTGGGTACCTTCACGCTCATGAGAACCCCTTATGCACTCCCTACATTGCTTTACTCTTCCTCCTACATTTTGTACTTCTACTGTCATTATAATTGTGCTTATTGTGTTTCTTCAAAGGTACTGGTGATGCTGGTGGGGAAATAGGAAAGAAGCATTATCCTGATGCTGGCTGATTTTACACTTAATTGTAAATTAACGCTGGCCTCTTGATTGTCCAGGTTGTATTTAGATCCAGCAAGAAATCACATTATTTTCCCCGAAGTGAATAAGAAATCACAAAATGCCTAAGGAAATGGGTCTAAAGATCCTTTAAATTTGAAGAGCTATGAGAAAGAAGTATTGGCAGCCAAGTAACCAGGCTGTTCCCACTGTGACAAAGGGAAAAAGGGACTGAGCTCTGACCACAAGTGGACAGGTTATGAGAATTCAGTCCAGAGTATTTGTATGATTTATATTTCTAGAATTCAAGGCCTTGAGAATTAAAACAAGGCTCACAATGTAGTTGAGGGTCCTCTGGGAGCAAAGGAATGAAAGAAACATCTGTCAGGTGCCAAGCATGAAGTGGGAGAGCCTTCCCAGGAAATCTGGCATGAGTTAGGTATGGCCACCTGGCAGGCACATTGCCTCCGTTTTATATATAGGGGTGGGCAAAAGTAGGTTTGCAGTTATAATAAAAATCAATAATACAACAATTAAATAATAATACAAGAATAAACTCTGTTTTGTGTACTCACATCTGTAAACCTACTTTTGCCTGCCCCGTACATTGTCTCATTTGAGCCTCTTAACCACCTCATTTTATTCCCATTTTACAGCTAAAGAGATTGATATCCAGAAGACTATTACTGCCCAAAGTCACATAGAATGTCAGTGGTGAAAGCTAAGATAGAAATGGAGACCTGTGGGAGTTTTGAGCCTGTAAAAAGATGGCATATTTTCATTACTGAAAACTCCTCTAATATGGAAGACCCCAAAATCCAGTGTTGAACTGGTGTTTGGAGAAAAATAAAACAGCTTTTCATTGCCTGTAATGTGCTGTTGCAGATGGGGAAATAGAGGAACAATTATCTGTGTGGCCAGTACCTGAAGCAAAGTGGGGATAGGGAAGGTGCAGGTCCATAACTAGTTTATATAGAGCCTTTGTGTGAATTAGAAAAGGCACTCCTTGCTAAAGATGCTTTATGGCCATCTGCCAGAAAATTGTAATAAGTATACAAATCCCCAATTGAAATGGCAGAGGCACCCCTGGATAGGACCATCTCAATTGTAGTCAAAGACTCTGGGAAGGGGCCCAGATGTGTAAAATAATCATGGAACTAACTGAGACATTAATGAGTGTGCCTCAGATCCATATAAGACCTAGAAGGTCATTTACAGACAAGGCCTGCATGATTCTAAGGGAGAAGGAGTTATAAAAGCTTAGTTAGTGGGAAGGAAAGGCTTTGAATTATAATATTACTTTATATTTTCAAAGCCCTGAAAGCTTTAGAGTACTGTCTGGTAGTTGAGAGAAAGAATTAGGCAATGGAGGAGGGAAAGTCCCTTTGCTAGGCACTTTTACCTGGATTTCTCATTTATTCCTCACAACAACCTTAGGGGAGATAGTGTTATCCTCATTTTAGATATGAAGAACCTGAAGCTCTACAAGGGTGAATGACTTCCTTCAGATCACACAGATATTAAATGGTGGTGCTGGGGCAGCTAGGTGTGTCTAACAACAAAAATAGTGGTTTTCTCCCTTCACAGTGTAAC